GTTAAGTACAGGTCACCACTGAGTTCACTTCAAGGTGTTAGTTCTTGATATAGGAATTAACTACACTGACCTTTAAGTGTATATTCACCGAGATCTCTTCCTTTTCGGTTTACGTATATACGTAGATATAAACTCACATTGACACTCACATTTTGTGTATATACACATATGAAATTAAGACACATGTGCAACATCTGGGTATCTTTATTGTAGACGTTTCGCCATCCAGTGGCTTTGTCAATACAACTCAATACAATACAATAGAATTTGTATTGATAAAGCCACTGGATGGCGAAACGTCTACAATGAAGATACCCAGATGTTGCACATGTGTGTTAATTTCATCTTGTCAGTATTATATACCATTCTTGCACATATATACACATAGTTGCCTCTTAAAGAACAAAAAGGCACAATACCGTGACTGGAACAATACACAAATAACCCGCACATAGGAGAGAAAAGTTTACGACGACGTTTTGATTCTGACCGAAACGTCGTCGTAAGCTTCTCTCTTCTATGTGCGGGTTATTTGTTTATTTATCTCTTGCTGTATATACCGATGGTTTTGAAAATCGACAAGTTGAAGATTGAGACACTTACGCAAGATATACGAGGACATTCGAGCACTCCAGGAAGATTTGAATAGACTGATACAGTGGTCGGAGAAGTGGCAGATGCAGTTTAATATAGACAAATGCAAAGGTCTAAATGTTGGACAGGACAATAACCATGCCACATATAAACTAAATAATGTAGATCTTAATATTACGGATTGCGAAAAAGATTTAGGAGTTCTGGTTAGCAGTAATCTGAAACCAAGACAACAGTGCATAAGTGTTCGCAATAAAGCTAATAGAATCCTTGGCTTCATATCAAGAAGCATAAATAATAGGAGTCCTCAGGTTGTTTTTCAACTCTATACATCCTTGGTTAGGCCTCATTTAGATTATGCTGCACAGTTGTTGTCACCGTATTACAGAATGGATATAAATTCTCTGGAAAATGTACAAAGGAGGATGACAAAGTTGATCCCATGTATCAGAAACCTTCCCTATGAGGATAGACTAAGGGCTCTGAATCTGCACTCTCTAGAAAGACGTAGAATTAGGGGGTATATGATTGAGGTGTATAAATGGAAGACAGGAATAAATAAAGGGGATGTAAATGGTGTGCTGAAAATATCTAGCCTAGACAGGACTCGCAGCAATGGTTTTAAGTTGGAAAAATTCAGATTCAGGAAGGATATAGGAAAGTACTGGTTTGGTAATAGAGTTGTGGATGAGTGGAACAAACTCCCGAGTACAGTTATAGAGGCCAGAACGTTGTGTAGCTTTAAAAATAGGTTGGATAAATACATGAGTGGATGTGGGTGGGTGTGAGTTGGACCTGATAGCTTGTGCTACCAGGTCGGTTGCCGTGTTCCTCCCTTAAGTCAATGTGACCTGACCTGACTAGGACCTGCCTCGCATGGGCCAGTAGGCCTGCTGCAGTGTTCCTTCGTTCTTATGTTCTTATATGGGAATCTTCATTAAGGAAACGTTTCGCCATACAGTGGCTGTATCAGTCTACTACAAAGCAGAAAGGTGTAAGAAGAGGAGGAGTTTGAGGTAATCAGTCCCTCAGCCTGGAATCGATGTGTTTGAGGAAATCAGTCCTCCTCTCCTTATCCCTGTCTGCTTTGTATTGGACTGATGAAGCCACTGTGTGGCGAAACGTTTCCTTAATAAAGATTCCCATATGTAATAAAGTTGGTAGAATTACCGACAATATGTAAAGTAAAAGGACACAAGCCATTAATGGCTTGATAAAGTTCCTGGAGAGCGAAACGTTGCCACAATAAATGTCATATTAGTTGCACTTATGTCCTTTTACTTTACATTCCCATATGTTGCGTAAGTGTCTCAATCTTCAGGTACAGGTCCTGGTCCGGGTCTTCTCCATGTGGTGACGCGGCAGGCTTACTCCTGCCGCGTCACCACACTCAACACACCCCATTCCTCAGAATACACTTGCTCTATCTCCTTCCCACTACAATAATATCGCAGATCTTCATCTTTCTTTCCAGAATACACTCGCCCCTTCCTTTTCCCCAGGAAAATAAAATTTCCACGCCCCTTCCTTTCAGAACACAGCTCACCATTTCCTTTTTCCCACAGAATACACTCACCACTTACTCTTCCCAGCAGAATGTACTCATCACTTTCCTCTCCAAGAATACACTCACCCCTTCTTAAAAGGATACTTTATAGACACTCGCCACTTCCTCTTTCCAGCAGAATAAATTCTCCATGCCCTCTTCCTCTCAGGATACACTCACCCGCAACATTTTCCCTATTGCAAGAGGCAGATACCGCATCCTCTCTGCGGGAATTGTAAATGCGTGAGCTTCATTGGCCAAATAAATCACATCAGCGATCCAGTGCACCAGCACGGCAGGAGGCGCTGTTTTCCCTTTGTTTTGGCAAACCTCGCCACGCGGCACTGTTGAAAGTGTAAACCTCACACCCATGGGATTTGTGGACGCTGGAGGTGGGTGGAAGGATGAGAGAGAGAGAGAGAGAGAGAGAGAGAGAGAGAGAGAGAGAGAGAGAGAGAGAGAGAGAGAGAGAATGGAGGGGGGGTTGTAGTTTGTGTGGGGCAAACATGTGGTGAGTGGAGTGGATGGGGGAAAGTTGTTAGTGGGGGAGAGGTGACGGATGGGTTGGGTAGGGAGAGAAATGAGAGGAATGGGGCTGTGGGGGATAATAACTAGTGACGGGAGGATGAACGGTAGGCCGGGAAGGAGACAAACATGGACGTGTGAGGTGGAGGGTCAAATAATTTTTTTTTATTCCCGACGAGTGAGCTGAATGCTTAGGGGCAAGAGGATCGGGGAAGGGAAAGATTTCCTTGCTTTCTGCCCTCGTCTCTCCTGTGGGAGGAGGAGGAGGAGGGAGGGGGTCAGAAGAGAAAATGAATTGAGTTAGCTACTGTGCAAGGCTGGCAAATGTGAAAACAGTCTTCATGAATCTTCCGAAATAACAGACTAACAGACTCACATTGATCAAGCAAATCATAGAGCAGAGGTTCTCAACCCGGAGGGAATTCCCTCTGGGGGGAATTTTAGGGTGTTTCAGGAGAAATTGGGACCACTACTCAACAAAGTGTGTTCTGTAGATTATGTACAATCCGTAGAACTGCAGTTTGTTTTTACTTTAATCTGTGACATTCAATAAAGTTTATTGAATGTCACAGATTAAATGAAAAATAACAATAAATATTTCACTTTTCATCTGACTCGCTCTTGATTTTTATTCACAGAATTTAGAGCCCATCACGAGTGTCAAAAAAAAAGGTGCGATGATTCATATATTCAATATGATTTCACATCCATCATAAAGGTCACAATATGTTACTTGTAGCAAAGCTTTGTCAAATGTTTCTATGAAACCAACAAAGTTTAGGCAACATTTGCACAATGTTTATCCTCAACAAAAGCTTTGTTGAAGGTGATGTTAAACTATGCTTCGGTAACTCTGGCCTCTGTCACCCTACTCGGAAGATTGTTCCACGCATCCACAATTCTGTTTGAAAACCAGTACTTACTTATGTCCTTTCTAAATCTAAATTTATCCAACTTAATCCGTTATTCCTGGTTCTTACCTAAGTGGATATCCTCTGTTGCTATTAAGTTTGTAAAACTCAGCTATAAAAGTAATCCAAGTCAACGCATATATGGAAAAATAAACACATAAACAGTATAATCCTTTATTGACAACGTTTCGCCCACTGGAGCCTACTGGCCCATGCGAGGCAGGTCCAAGTCACCTACCGGCTTATGCCACTGACCCAACCTAGTCAGGCCCAGGTCACATGCACTTAAGGAAGGAGCACGGCATCAGACCTACTAGCACAAGCTAGTCAGGTCGAACTCACACCCGCCCACACCCACTCATGTATTTATCTAACCTGTTTTTAAAACTACACAACGTTTTAGCTTCTATGACGGTACTCGGGAGTTTGTTCCGCTCATCCACAACTCTGTTACCAAACCAGTGGTTTCCTATATCCTTCCTGAATCTGAATTTTTCCAACTTGAAACCATTGCTGCGTATTCACTATCACAATATTCTTCACTTTCATTACACAATATTCACTATCACAATATTCTTCACTTTCATTACACAGTATTCTCTATCACAATATTCTTCACTAATATTACACATTGCAATATTCTTCACTATTATCACACGAGATTCTTTTTATCACAATATTCTTCACTATTATCACACAATATTCTTCACTATCCATTACACACAGTATTAAATCTACTATGTACACAATATTTTCCTCCACTCCATATCACTATACACAACTCTTCCATTATCAGCACACATTCTTCACATCCTCACACAGTATAATCACTATCGTCACAATTTTCCTCATTATCATTACACAGTTCTTCGTACCATTATCTCTCAGAAAATAAATCTAACTTTACTATATTAGTTAATTATCTTTGATATTAAATCGTAATTGTTAGTAATATTTGTTCAATTTTATTTAAAATTAAACTTGACTCTTGACTGTATTAGACGATTGTTTTTTATATTAAATCATAATATTAGTAATATTTGTTTAATTTTATCAGGTTTGTTAAAACGCTCTCTGGCCGGATGTTGAAGAGTTGAGGAAGGATGAAGTTGCGCTCAGGTCGTATCACCAGACGTGGGTATCGCCGCAGCGCCAGACTCTTAAAGAAATTTGATAGTATTAATGTATACCTGCAGCCACCTCCAAGACTGGTGAGCAGGTCACCATCCTTCAGCAGCAGGCCCTGGGTCTCCATGCAGCAGATGAATTTACTCTCCATCACCATCAACGGCATTGAGTGCAAGATGCATGTTGACACTGGCACCTCGAACCCCTTCATACAGCACAGGCTGGCCCAAATCCTAGGCCTCTTGGGGCACATTTCTGGCTACTCCAACATTGTTTTAAAACTGGGAGGAGAGAAGAAATATCGAGGTTGGTTTGGTAAAAGATATTATCGTGAAATTTGAGAATAGTTAATAAATCTATATCGACGACTTAGTGCTCCCACCCGAGTTTGATAATTACTTCCAGCGCAGAAGAGCCCGTTGTTTATTTGGACATTCAGACGCTAGGTCGCTATGGTGTAGTTCTGGATTTTTCACATGGCAAATCAGAGCTACTTTTCGAGAAAAGACAATGTAAGATGCGCAGGAACACGAAAAAACCGGTTGAATTTGCTTGTGCTCTTCATTTCCATTTCTTTCTATTACACTGATCCATCAGTCGATCTGATCGTAGACACGGGCTCCGATTATTTTTATATTTCTACGGCATGTTTGAAATAACATTTAGCCATGAGCGGCGGTTATGTGCCGCGTAGAGCGATCATCCACATGTCTGACCAAGACAACCTGCAAGCAAGCAAGATGTTATGAGAGACAACACCCCTTCCCACATTGTATTATGGGGCTGAAAGTTCTACAGCAGTGCCAAAGTATCGTAGACATCCCTTCAAAAAAAAAAAAATGTATTTCAGTGTTAATCAGAAAATTTGCAGTACTAATATGCACTGATGTTTTTACCACAGCTGAGTTTTTCAATAAAAAACAAAAGGAAAAATTTATTTAATGGTATTTTTTTACAAGGAATGTTTATTTTTATGACTTAGCTGAATGAGAGTGCTGTACCGCAAGGTCATGTAGCGCCTGGGGAAGGGCATAACATTCAAGGTCAGTCAAAGGAAAGGACGGCTTCAATTCCTTGCATCAAGAGCCTCTCATGGAGGCACCTGGAAAGATGATGCATTATGTATGTTAACCTGCTTACACAATTGAAGGGAAAGTTGAGTACATTTATATTACCAAATGACAGTGAAGAACCGCACGTTGTTGTGTTAGGACTGAGGGAGGTGGTGATGATCGTTATTGACACACACATTGATACAATACCGACAGGTTGATAAATAAGACACACAGGCAGTGGTTAGGCATCTGTAATTCGAAACGTTTCGCTTACACAGTAGGCTTCTTCAGTCGAGTACAGAAAGTAGGCAGGAGCAGTAGAGATGTGAAGACGATGTAATCGGTTATAGAATATGCTGCGCCAGTGTGGATGCCACACCTAATCAAACACAAACCGTTGTAGAAGGTCCAAGGTTAGCAATGGGACTAATCTTGGAACTGAAGGAAATAAACAACAGTGAAACGCCAAGGTAATGAACCTCATATCATTGGAAAAGAAGAGATTTAGAGAAGAAGCGGCCATGAATATTTAAATAATTTGAAATGCTGGCAATGTAGCTAAGGGCAGACTATTTTACCGTTAGAGGGAACAGAACAAGGTGATATAAACGAAATATGAAACCTCGGACGAGTCACAGTGACCTAGGACATAATTACACATTATAAGGGTAGTTACAAAGTTAATAGAGCAGAAGTTTCGATCCTGGGATATAATTGTTCTGTAGTGGACTACTTCTCCAGTGACTTCATGGGTCATATACGTCGCTGTGTCCTTGGGAAGTGGTGGCCCCTGTAGACGAGCAGCAAGTTACACAGGGGTTCAGCAGGACGCGGGAGATTGAACCTCATGTTTCAGCAGGGATCGTCACTCTGAGACTGTCCTTTGTCCCATAACTACCTTCATCCAGGTGTTCCTGCTCCTCTGTGTGACATGTACCATACAGCTGTACAAGAATGGTATACACTACCGACAAGATGAATATTAGACACGTGCAACATCTGGGTATCTTTATTGTAAAGATACCTAGATGTTGCACATGTGTCTAATTACCATACTGCTGACTGTGGAGCACTTTTAAAAATGTTTACCTACAGCTTTGGCTTTTTTGCTTTTATAATTTTCTGGGTGCCTGTAGGGACCTCGGGGAATTGCTAGAAATCTTTTAACATTAATAATACAATGGGGATTTTATATGATACTTGGTTAGTTTAACTTGGTAGGATAGTATGTGTGTTGTATGCTTTGCTTCTCATATTTTTTTTTCTATTTTTTTTAACTTGGTGGTTGTTGTGCATTTTATATTTTATTTTAATTAGTAAAAGTGCTGAGTGATCTCACAGGTTAGGTTCCTTCCCATCATCCACAGTGCTGTGATTAACACTCACACACACCCTCTCTCTCTCTCTCTCTCTCTCTCTCTCTCTCTCTCTCTCTCTCTCTCTCTCTCTCTCTCTCTCTCTCTCTCTCTCTCTCTCTCTCTGTGTGTGTCAGGGTGATGTGTGTGTGGTGCGAGTGGATCAATCCACAAGCACATAAGCCATAAGAGGATAACAAAGAGTGGTGCGTGGGGAGGATGGAAGGCCGAGTTCCCCTCTCTGATAAACACAACACAGGATACCATTTTTATTGCACAAACTTGGGTACACCAGCAGTGTGCTGCTACCTGTGGCTGCCCTATACCAAAGCCATATAGGCGGCCGCTTAGTGCGCCAACTGGTGCGAGTGGCGATATAGCACATCCGGTTTACTTTTTCTCTCTCATACAGGCTCCACTGCATCCACTTAAGGGTAAATAAATGAAGTGGCTTATGTTTAAAGACAGTTTGTGTTCAACACGTTTTATTGCGGCAGAGATTATGCACCGGGAAGAGTGAAGTATGCTCTTGATCGGGGTAGAGTACGATTCATTGTCGCCATTTCAGCACCAGGCTGTTTCGGCGCCAGGATATTCAGCGCCAGGCCGTTTCAGTACGGTCCGTTCAGAAATGGAGTAGAGTACCTGTGTGCAGTTTTATGAAAGTAACCTAACCCTAACTCTAACTCTTTGTTTTAGACGATTTTTTTTTATTTTTTTTAGTTTCGAATTAAATAAACTAATCTCTTAAATATGTAATTCAACAAACCATTGTTCAATATAAATATTTCTTTTCCATATTTTATTGATTTGAGTCTTGAAACTATGATGGCGCTGAAACGACCTGGCTTTGAATAGCCTGGTGCTGAAACGGCCTGGCTTTGAATAGCCTGGTGCTGAAACGACCTGGCTTTGAATAGCCTGGTGCTGAAACGACCTGGCTTTGAATAGTGTGGCGCTGAAATGGCTGCCCTGAATTAGGCCATCCCGCCTCACGGAGGAAAGGAGGGTGGACTGAAAAATTACTTAGGTGGGCTGAACTGGAATGACCTGACTAGGGGTCAGGTAGGTGGTGATGGTTGCCGATATGATGCTTTCCAGGGCATAGTTCTAGCTGCTCAGTCAAATTATGTTCCAAATAGGGAAATCAGATCAAACAAAAATGATCCTAAATGGATGAACAATAGATTAAAATATCTGATTGGTCAAAAGAGAGGCATATATAGGCAAATCAAAAGAGGAGAGGGGCAATTAAGAAATCGATATATTCAGTTAAAGAGAGAAATAAAAAAGGGAATTAGAAAAGCAAAAAGAGATTATGAGGTTAAAGTTGCAAGAGAATCGAAGACTAACCCAAAAGGATTCTTTCAGGTATACAGAAGTAAGATCAGGGACAAGATAGGCCCACTCAAAGTTCCTCGGGTCAGCTCACTGACAGTGATAAGGAAATGTGTAGAATTTTTAACACATACTTCCTCTCAGTTTTTACACAGGAGGATACCAGCGATATTCCAGTAATGATAAATTATGTAGAACAGGACGATAATAAACTGTGCACTATTAGGGTCACAAGTGACATGGTCCTTAGGCAAATAGATAAATTAAAAACCTAACAAATCCCCAGGCCCTGATGAACTGTATGCAAGGGTTCTAAAGGAATGTAAAGAGGAGCTTAGCACACCTTTGGCAAATCTTTTCAACATATCACTACAAACTGGCATGGTGCCAGATAAGTGGAAAATGGCAAATGTGATACCTATTTTCAAAACAGGTGACAGGTCCTTAGCTTCGAACTATAGACCAATAAGCCTAACCTCCATAGGGGGAAAAATTTATGGAATCAATAATTGCCGAGGCAGTTCGTAGCCACCTTGAAAAGCATAAATTAATCAACGAATCTCAGCATGGTTTTACAAAGGGGCGTTCCTGCCTTACGAAAATTTTTTAACTTTTTTCACTAAGGTATTTGAGGAGGTAGATCATGGTAATGAATATGATATTGTGTATATGGACTTCAGTAAGGCTTTTGACAGGGTCCCACATCAGAGACTATTGAGGAAAATTAAAGCACATGGAATAGGAGGAGAAATTTTTTCCTGGATAGAGGCATGGTTGACAAATGGCAGCAGAGAGTTTGCATAAATGGGGAGAAATCAGAGTGGGAAGCGTCACGAGCGGTGTTCCACAGGGGTCAGTGTTGGGCCCCCTGCTGTTCACAATCTACATAAACGACATAGATGAGGGCATAAAGAGCGACATCGGCAAGTTTGCCGATGACACCAAAATAGGCCGTCGAATTCATTCTGACGAGGACATTCGAGCACTCCAGGAAGATTTGAATAGACTGATGCAGTGGTCGGAGAAGTGGCAGATGCAGTTTAATATAGACAAATGCAAAGTTCTAAATGTTGGACAGGACAATAACCATGCCACATATAAACTAAATAATGTAGATCTTAATATTACGGATTGCGAAAAAGATTTAGGAGTTCTGGTTAGCAGTAATCTGAAACCAAGACAACAGTGCATAAGTGTTCGCAATAAAGCTAATAGAATCCTTGGCTTCATATCAAGAAGCATAAATAATAGGAGTCCTCAGGTTGTTCTTCAACTCTATACATCCTTGGTTAGGCCTCATTTAGATTATGCTGCACAGTTTTGGTCACCGTATTACAGAATGGATATAAATTCTCTGGAAAATGTACAAAGGAGGATGACAAAGATGATCCCATGTATCAGAAACCTTCCCTATGAGGATAGACTAAGGGCCCTGAAACTGCACTCTCTAGAAAGACGTAGAATTAGGGGGGATATGATTGAGGTTTATAAGTGGAAGACAGGAATAAATAAAGGGGATGTAAATAGTGTGCTGAAAATATCTAGCCTAGACAGGACTCGCAGCAATGGTTTTAAGTTGGAAAAATTCAGATTCAGGAGGGATATAGGAAAGTACTGGTTTGGTAATAGAGTTGTGGATGAGTGGAACAAACTCCCAAGTACCGTTATAGAGGCCAGAACGTTGTGTAGCTTTAAAAATAGGTTGGATAAATACATGAGTAGATGTGGGTGGGTGTGAGTTAGACCTGATAGCTTGTGCTAACAGGTCGGTTGCCGTGTTCCTCCCTTAAGTCAATGTGACCTGACCTGACTAGGTTGGGTGCATTGGCTTAAGCCGGTAGGGAATTGGACCTGCCTCGCATGGGCCAGTAGGCCTTCTGCAGTGTTCCTTCGTTCTTATGTTCTTATGTAAGACCTTAGGATCTCTCCTAGAGCACCAAAATATGCCAGGATCGCCACTGGTTACTACGCTCTTCCATATGATAGTTCCACGTGAAGCAAAAACTAATTATACCATTTCTTTGTAATATTACAACACAACAGATAGGTTGCGCGCACACGGTGACCAATTCTTAAAGTAGTTACGCATGCTTAAAAAAAAAATTCGTTCCAGCAGAACTGAAATTACTATTACGTGAAAATTACCACCTCAGGATAGCCTATCCCACATACTTGGAAGTGGAAAATATCACAAATTCTCTCTCTCTCTCTCACACACACACACACACACACACACACACACACACACACACACACACACACACACACACACACACACACACACACACACACACACAATAAATGCCAATAAATTAGAGAAAGTGCAAGAATTTGCGTTAAGACTAGGGCTAGAG